AGAGCTTTATTGGTCAATGACTTGGACTGCATTGATGTCGTAAAATTCTCACGTGTCATTAATTGTTATGCATCCTCATACATGCAAATACCTAACTTTCCTCTAAGATTTTCAAATTGGGCAGCATCTATAGCCTTGGTAAAGATGTCAGCTAGTTGTAGTTCAGTGGATACATGCTCCAAGGAAATCACTTTGTCTTCCACAAGATCTCTAATGAAGTGATGTCTTATATCAATGTGCTTCGTTCTGCTGTGTTGGATTGGATTTTTGGAAATGTTAATAGCACTGAGATTGTCACAGTACAATGTCATGACATCCTGAGTTACATTGTATTCAGTTAACATTTGCTTCATCCATACCAGCTGAGAACAGTTGCTGCCAACTGCTATGTATTCAACTTCAGCAATGGACAGTGAGTCGCAATTCTGCTTCTTGCTGAACCAAGATATTAGGTTGTTTCCCAAGAACAGGCATCCACCAGATGTGCTTTTTCTATCATCAGCACTGCCAGCCCAATCAACATCACAATAACCATACAAGGTAGGATCACACCCATGAGAGTAAAGTATGCCATAGTCACAAGTTCCATTCACATATTTGCGAATCCTTTTAACTTGATTCATGTGACTTACTTTAGGATCTGCTTGATACCTTGCACATACACCCACAACAAAGGCAATGTCTGGTCTGCTGGTTGTAAGATACAGCAGGCTACCAATCATGCTTCTGTATAGACTTTGATCAACACTCGTACCATTTTCATCTCTGGATAACTTTAGGTGAGTGGGGGCAGGTGTTTTTTTGTGACTTGCATTGTCCATTCCAAACTTCTTGACTATATTTCTGGTGTATTTACTTTGGGAGATGAATATGGAATCATTCATTTGCTTGACCTGTAGCCCAAGGAAGTAGGTTAGTTCTCCACACATACTCATTTCAAACTCAGACTGCATGTGATTAACAAATAGCTTCACCATCTTTTCTGACACTCCCCCAAATATTATGTCACCCACATATATCTGGGCAATCATGATTTCTCCACCCTCATTTTTTTTACAAACAATGTCTTATCAATTCCCCCTTTTCTGTATCCTTTTGTGGTGAGAAACTCAGTTAGTCTTTCATACCAAGCTCTAGGTGCCTGTTTTAATCCATAAAGTGCCTTCCTTAGCTTGTATATATGGTCTGTTAAGTTAGGGTCCTCAAATCCCTTGGGTTGTGCCACATATACTTCCTCAGTTAGATATCCATTCAGAAAGGCACTTTTTACATCCATCTGAAATAGTTTAAATTTTAGGATGCATGCAATTCCCAACATCAGCCTGATTAACTCAAGTCTTGCAACTGGTGCAAAAGTCTCATCAAAGTCAATTCCTTCTACTTGAGTGTACCCCTGAGCCACCAGTCTAGCTTTATTTCTGACTATGATTCCTTCTTCATCTGACTTGTTCTTGTAAATCCATTTGGTTCCAATGATATTTGTTCCTCCAGGTCTTGGCACTAGTTCCCACACTTCATTTCTTTTAAACTGCTCCAATTCCTCTTGCATAGCCTTGATCCAGTATTCATCAGTGAGAGCTTCCTTAACATTTTTGGGGTCAACCTTGGACACAAAGCAGGAATTTGAGATGAATTATCTTGTTCTAGTCCTTACTCCACTGTTGAGGTCTCCAATTATAAGATCTTTGGGATGATCTTTCAGGATTCTAATAGAGGGTTCTTTGTTTCCTATTTCTGGTTCAGAATGTAGACTTGTAGTCTGGGTGTCTTCAGTCTCCTCTGATGGAGTCTCAAGTAATGTTCCAACATCCTCTATGACATTGATTTCTTTAATTTGATCATCAATGACAACATTAATGGATTCCATTAATACTTTTGTTCTGGAGTTATATACTTTGTAAGCTCTGCTATTAGTAGAGTATCCCAAGAATATTCCTTCATCACTTTTGGCATCCATTTTCCTTCTTTGTTCACGATCTGTCAAGATGTAGCACTTGCTTCCAAACACATGAAAATATTTCACAGTTGGTTTTCTTCCTTTTCATAGTTCATACAAGGTGGAGGATGTCCCCTTTCTCAGGGTAACCCTGTTGTGAACATAGCATGATGTGTTTGTTGCTTTAGCCCAGAAGTGCATAGGCAGCTTCTTTGCATGAATCATGGCTCTAGCAGATTCCTGAACAGTTATGTTTTTCCTTTCAACTATTCCATTTTGTTGAGGAGTGGTAGGGGAGGAAAATTCATGGCTTATGCCTTCAGTTGCACAGAACTCAGCAAACTTGGAGTTTTCAAACTCCTTTCCATGATCACTTCTGATCTTGATAACACCACTCTCCTTTTCTCTTTGGAGCTTGGTGCACAGTTCTTTGAAGACTTCAAAAACATCAGATTTTTCTTTGATGAAGTTTATCCATGTGTATCTGGAGTAATCATCAACCACCAGATATGCATACCTTTTTCCACCAAGGCTTTCTACCTGCATTGGTCCCATAAGGTCCATGTGCAGTAGTTCTAAAACTCTAGATGTGGTTAGATGTCCAACCCTTGGATGGGATGTCTTGGTCTGTTTGCCCACTTGACATTCCCCACATACTCAGCCTCCTTGGAGATGATCTTCTTCATTCCTCTTAAATGAAGATGCCCAAGTTTTTGGTGCCATAATTTTACTTCCTATTCTTCTCTTGCCACATAGCACATTGTGGATTTACTAATGTCTTTTGGCTCCCACAAATAACAGTTGTCTTTGGATCTCATCCCCTTCATCACTTCTTCATTTTCACCATTTGTGACCACACATTCTCCTTTAGAGAACTTCACACTTAGTCCTTGATCACAGAGCTGAATGATACTGATCAAGTTGGCAGTTAGTCCTTTTACCAACAACACATTGGTTAGGTTAGGAACTCCAGGGCTCTCTAGTTTTCCAACTCCTTTGATTTCCCCTTTTGCCCCATCACCAAAGGTCACATAACTTGAGGAATGTGGCTTGATGTCTACCAACAGATTCTTAATACCAGTCATATGCTTAGAGCAACCACTGTCAAAGTACCAGTCTTCTTTAGCTGACACTCTTAGAGATGTGTGTGCTATCAGACCAACCTCCTTGGCCACCCAATTCCTTTGCTTGTAACGCACCTCCTTCTTGAGTTTGGCACATGATTTCCTTTTGCCATGAGTGCCTTGTTTGGCGTTTCCTTGACTTGGAAATCCATACAGCCAGAAGCACACAACTTTAATATGCCCAAGTTTTCCACAGTGGTAACACCTATGCCTTTGGAATTGTCTTTTGACTTGATTCCAGTTTTTGTGGGGCGGATGTTGTAACATTGATCGTGACATCCTTTTTAACTTTTGAATCTCAGGTTGTAATCCCTTGAGTTTCAACACAGGATTTTGTCTCTCAACAAATCCTAGCCCATACCTATCTCTTAAGGTCTGACCAATCTGAAGGATTTCCTCTAGGGTGTCAGTCCCAGAGTTGAGCATCCTTATGGATTTTGTCATTTGATCCTTTTTACCTTTCAACTCATTCACTTCACTTCTGAGTGTGTTTATTGTGGCTAGATGCTCTCTCTTTTCATCTTCCAATTCCTTGATGATTTTCTTCTATTGCTCTCCCTGCTGGTACAGTTCTGTGCTTTTGATATGATTCTGCAATTTCCTCAAAAGTCAATTCTTCTTCACTTGAGTTCCCTCCAGACATGCACACACTGTTGAAGGCAGAGACATGCTTGGCAGACTCTCCTTCTGATTCACTTCCTGAGTCTTCATCAGACCAAGTGACTGTTATACCTTTTCCCTTTTTGAGGTATGTGGGACATTCCCTCCTAGCATGTCCATATCCTTCACACTCATGACATTGGACTCTTTTGCTTTGGTCAGCTTTGTCTTCAGCTTGGCTGCTAACAGAGGAGTTGTTTTTGATATAGGGCTTTGACTTCTGATCTATTCTTTTGATCAGTTTACTAAATTGTCTTCCAAGTAGTGATATTGCTTCTGACAAACTTTCTTCCTTTTCACCATCTTCTTCATCTAAATCAGTAGTGTTTGAGACCAGAGCTATACTTTTGCTCTTTTTCTCCACAGAATGATCACACATGCCCATCTCAAATGTTTGGAGAGAACCTATAAATTCATCCACCTTCATGTTGCATATGTCTTGGGCTTCTTCAATGGTTGTTACTTTCATAGCAAACCTTTTAGGTAGTTGTCACACCCTAACTTTTGACCATAAGATCCCGCCTCCTCACCTTTTTTCTTGCCTTGTTTTATTTTACTTCATATGTATGTTTATTATCACTAACCAGATGATGTAGGTTTACGCAGAGATTTTCTTTTTCAAATGGAGATAATGCTCATTAAGAGTCATCAAGAAAAGAAAAAGCTCGGTTCATGCAAAGAGATTATCATAGTTTAAAGGCTTGTTTGGAATTTCACTAATGGTTCATCAATCCTGACTTTCTCAATGACATCAAGTGTTCGGAACATTTAATTTAGGCAAAGAATTAAATTCGAGTTTTACGGGAATTTCCATGAACTCGAATGACAAATGGATTGTTCAAAATTCGTCAATATTTACCGCTTTCATATCCAGAGTTCAAGTTCGGGTTGTCATTTCAAAATTCAAATTTCACCATGAAAGTTACATTTCATTACGGGGAAATGAACTCCACCCACATAAACTAAACCGCAGGCGTGGTCATCTAATTTTGAAGAGAATAGGAATGTGATTCTGTCAAGATAAAAGACTTTACCATCAAAATCACTTTGAAGACAAGAGTCGAAAATTATCAGCCTTTTGATTCATGCGAGAAGGCCGTTGGTCTCAAAACGGTCACAGTGATGGTTGTCCCTGCACACGGTTTCAGTTAAGATCGGATTTCATTGCAGCCAAAGTTCGAATCACATGTCAATTCCATGGTTGAGCATTTAAATTACGGAAACACCAACAGGAGCACTACAACAGCGAATTGGTGACTACATGTGTGAACCTTGTTGTTCTACTCGAAGAAGACCAATAAACCAAACCTAACCGCCGTCAACAGCCAATCTTCTACACCTCCAATAACCACACAGTACAGAAGACGTTTCTTTTCTTCTTCTGATATGCCTGTTAAAATGAACACTTTCTAGCTTAGCCTTCGGAAAACAATTGACAACTGCATAATTAATATAACAGATTAAGCCTAAAAAAACTAGTATGAATATGAAGCACCAACCTGGATTTTCAGAAAGCATCAGGTTAAGAAGAAGTCTCTTCCTTATTTCTTGAGCTTGATTTACTTCACGGAAAAATGCATGTTCCTTAACTCCCTTGATACCAAAAGTTGAAGGCTCAGCTCCAGATGCAATTACAAGCTTGTCATGCGCAACTTTAAATTGTGCAGGAAGCTTGAAAGAAGTGTGAATTGGGATTCTTTGAAAGTGCATCCTGTATACTACCAATAGGCTCGGTAACAGACCTGAATTCAAGTGTACCAACACACGTTGAAGCCAACAAAGGAGTGAAAACCATATGATTCCTTGGTGATATGCACACAACATCATAAATTCTGGTGTCTCACCCACGCGGAAGCCCTGCAATGCATCATCAGTATACATCAGAAAATAATCTCAAGGCATTCCATTCATGACAATTTAACACACCAAGCAGTCAATTCAAATAGCAAGGTTGCATAAGCCTAAATTGCAGTAATTATTTCCTACAAGGTGATCACTAACAATAAATAACAAGGGCCACCTGCGACATTGAAGGGAAGCATGATGAGCATGAGCTTTGTGATTAAAAAGAACATAGCTTAAAGTAACAGGTTACTTCAAATGTTGAATCCTACCCAGTGTTGAACCAAGTTGTTAGCTCATTCCTAGCTGGCACAAAGTCTGTGTAAGGCCTTTACGAACTGTCTGCCGGAAGGAAATCAGGGTCTATCTGCAAAAAGCAAAACAAAGTTATGATTTGCCTTAAAAACAATTATGACAGAGTCAAAATACGGACACATTAAAATGAAATTGGAAAGGGCAATTATCGTATTCTTCCCCCCAAATAGCCGAACTTGTCCCGTCTGAAAAAGGAGGGTTTTAAACCGCAATTACACCTGCATCACAGTTGTGGCAAAAATTAAAGGACACCTCGACACAATCAAATGAAAATGGAAAGACCCCAGACAAAGTTCAAATCGTTTCCAAATCTGTCAAGATGAAAAAGGGAAGAAAGTTATCACCATTAACGTATTGTGCCATCTCAGACAACTATAAAAGACGAGGAGGTCACTCTCAAAAGGGGCTATCCACAGCAGAACTTCAACATCCAACAAAAAACCTAAAATACGGAAGTTTTGGAAGGGGAAGACTCATCTCAAACCTCCGCCGTAAAATTTGCCGCCGCGAAATCACTACCCTCCTTTCTACCATCGTCGCTATCTTCGCAAACCTCAACGCCACCGCGAACTCAAACCGCCGGTGAAAACCTCCACCTTCGTCATCGCCTTTCGCCGCCACCCTCAAATCGTCACCGGCACTTCTCCGTGGGTAACATTTTCTTCCCCCAAATTACTTTTGCACATTTGATTTTTTTTTCCGAGTTTTGCAGAATAATAAAACAAAAGCCGAAGAACAAAAGCAGGAAGGAAAAGAATTTGTGATCAGAGAAGAAAGAAAAGGGAAATCAAGAGAGGGAGAAGCGGAAGAGGAAGATTGACGGAAAGAAGAAGGGGAAAAGGGGGATTAGGGTTTCTGCATCTTGCTTTTATGTTGTATGATCACGTGTATGCGCACACACACACTTACAGTGCACCTTCACCATCACAGCCACATGATCTCCAATGGATCTTATCTCACAGCCCACATCGCGCAGTCCACCATAACACATTGCACCCACATGCACATAAGCCAACTTAACCCTTAATTAACCCCTTTAATCTCATTTAAAACCTTTAATCGGTCATTTAATCAGATAATAATTTAATTCACCTTTAGTTAATCTTCTACTAATCTAATCATTAACTTTTACTAACTTAATTATTTTAAATTTTTATTAGTCTTTTAATCAGCCTTTAATTAATAAACCAACTAATAAAACCTTTTATTTAATTTAACCTTTTTCCTTCAAATTAATCTTTTTTTAAAGAGTTTTTTTAATAATAACAAACAACTTTTTTTTATAATATCTCATTAATTTGAACATTTTATTAAAATTGAACCTTCTTTTTCATAAGATTAAAAACTTTTTTAGAATCCTTTTATTATTTGTTATTTATTTAACTTAATAACCTTTTATATAATAAGAAATTTGACTCATTTAATTTTAATATAATCTTTATTGAAATAATAAAATCTTTATGAACTTTTATCATCCAATTAAATTAAATCCTTTATTAATAAATTAACTATTATTTATTTTTTTTCTAAAAATCAAAACCAAACCTTTTATAAAATTATTATTAAAATCAATTTTATTCAAATCCAATAAGTCAATACTTTTCTTAAATCAAATAATATAACCTTTTAAAAACCAACCTCATCAAAATATCACTTTCTCATAAGTTAATCCAAATTTCTCCTCACAAATCAATTCACATAAAAAATAAATCGCAACTTTCTCACTACAAACATAATATTTTCTTATAAATTAATTCAACCTTTTTCTAATCAAACACCCCTTTAAATGAATCAACATCGTAAAACTCAATCCAATCATGCACGCTTACTCCTCTCTCCGTCCTCGCACTTCACATTCACACACTTAGCGCTTTCATGCGTGTGTATGATTTATCTTTTTCTGCAATTTACCTTCCCGCAATTTATTTTCTGCATCGCATTCCGTCCAAAGAAAAAACCTACACATGAGTCAACACTTGTGTGTAGTGCACGTCATTTGCATCATGCTCCCCATGATCCTTGATCCCATTCAAGTTGATCAATTAAGATAGATCCTACCCCATAGGAAGGATTGTTCTCTATCTTCTACAACACAGAAACATACAAAACAACTACAACAATATTCAAACACAATAGAGAAATAGATGTTAATCATCTTAAGCGAGATAGAATCTCCACCCCACAACAATACATTCAATACCGTAGGAACTTTGCCTTAAGAGAGATAGAGGCGTACCTCGTCGATCCCTATCCGAGTACTTGAGCCCTTCTCTTAAGACAATGCAAAGACCATTTTCTTACAATTTGTGGCGGTTAAATCTCCTTTAAAATGACAACTCACCTTTTCTCCTAAAATCAATCAACCAACTACCCTAAACCCATAGGAACTTTGACCACAATCAAAGAACTCCTCAAACCCTTTAGGGGAACTACAAATACTCTGATTCTACTCCTGTCAGGATATGTAGGCACAAGATGCAACGTCTTGGCGAGTATACTTAGGACTAACCCCTTAGGTCTTTCTCTTTACCTTGAACCCTTTAGCATTACCCTTAAGCAGATAATCCATAGCAATAAACAACATAAAACAATAGGTTCCTGTAGAGTACTACAGAAACTTAGGATGCTAGCACCTTCCCTAAGTTTAACCAACCCCCGAACCTATAACTCTCTAGCTTTCATTTGCATTGCATCGTGGGAATTTCGATCTTTATCCCTTCCTTTGGACAAATCAAAGTTCGGTTGCAAATGAATAAGATTCAAACTAATCAATAGTTTGGTATCCAAACTTCACCACGACAGTAGTGACCTTAGAATCTTTCTTACAAGCTTTTCTTCAGTCATCTTTTCTCCCAGAGCTCCTGAGGTGTTTGCAAGTTCAAGAATATTCATGTAAAACTCATGAATGGTCTCATCTTCCTTCATTCTTATACCTTCAAATTTGGTGGTCAGCATTTGAAGTCTTGACATTTTGACCTTGGAAGTTCCTTTATGAGTAGTTCTGAGAATGTCACAAACATCATTTGCTAGTTCACAATGGTGTACCAGCCTGAAGATGTTTTTATCTATGCCATTGAACAAAGCATTCAATGCTTTAGAGTTTCCAAGAGCTAAAGCCTATTGCTCTTTGTTCCATTCCTCTTCAGGAATCAACACATCTACTCCATCCTTGTCAGTCTTCACAGGATGTTTCCACCGTGAATTCACAGCTCTCTAAGCCTTGTTGTCTATAGATTTTAAGAATGCAATAATCCTTAGTTTCCAATAATCATAATTAGAGGTCTATTAGTGAAGCCTATATCTTTATCCATAATACTATAATTTGTTTTCCCTAGATCTCACCCAGATTTAAACAGGCAGGGTGCCTGCTCTGATGCCAATTGAAAATTCTGGCAAGCACACGATGGATGTTATTCCCAAGGTTATAACATCCACTGTAACATCTGCTATTTAAAAGCTAATACTCAGTAATAATATAAGCAGTAAATAACACAACAATTGTTTACCCAGTTCAGTGTCAACAACACTTACATCTGGGGGCTACCAAGCCAGGGAGGAAATTCATTATCAGTAGAATCAATTCAGAGTTAAATCTCTAGTTTACACTCCTCACTTAATCCCTACCCAATGACACTTCAACCTAGAGACACTCTAAACCTGAGTATACCCATTCACTCCCTCTCAATCACACAACAGTGATATCAAACAATTACAGAAGACAATATGAAGAAACACTTCATACACACCTTGATCTTGCTTCACAGCTTTGATCAAGGTACTCACACACTCTTGCTTCACAGCTTCGAGTGAGACATAACCTAAAATCTACCTATCCAATGCAAATCATTCACTAGACAATTGCTTGGAGTACAAGTATTCCTAGACAGAAATCACACGTGAAAACTAGCCTTCTTCACTTACAAGGACTCTGCAATCTGCACTCTCTTTTCTTCTGTTGTCAAGTGCTTCTCTTCAGGATTGCTCCTTCTGATCTTTATAGCAGCTTTCAGTCCTTTTGGGCCTTAGTGCATTAATTAGGTTTTATCCATAACAAACCTATTTTCAATGATCTGCACACTTGCCACTTATTTCAGGGATATTCTAGTTCGCCTAGGGCTTCTAGAAAGTCTCCTGATATCCAGCTTGAGCACTTATTATGTTTCATGGTTTATAGATACCAGAAAAACAACCTTGTCCACTGGATGTCATACGTTCAGTGTTATAACATTCAGCTAAACTAAGTTAACTTATAGTTAACTTACCCTGCACACACATCATTAAGTATGTCCTAACATTTAGTATGACATACATGCACACTCTAAAGTTTTGCTACAAAATGAAGCCAATCAAGAGCACTTACAAGAAGTGTTGAAAGGATCAGAGATGATGAAAGCTAGTTTGTTCCTTTGTTTGTGTAGAGTTTGTTCCAAGGTGAAGATTTGTGATATTTTGGGTCGAACTCTAGTGTCGACAAGGATATCTTGATTTTTCAACAGGAGTTGTGCATGCTGTAGTCGAAGTCTGTTCAAGTATGTTGTCAAAATATATAAACTTATAATTTAAGTTAGTATGTCAAATTGGGTCTTGCTTGTAAGTCCAATTGTTTCAGTTAGCTTGTTCCCTAAGTTAGCTTGTGTAATGGGCATGTGTGTAAAAACTCATTAGATTAGTGTGTTAGTTTTTGTATAAATAGCATGCTAGTCTCTCATATTTGTAATATGGTG